ATTTGCACAAAATGACAAATCAGAACTTGCAGATCTGCAGTAAAAGGAGACAAACACAAGGAGAGTTAACACAAGGACTGGACTTTTTGCTAAGCAGTCACCATCACTGCTAAATACATTATATTCAAGGGTCAAAAAGGTGGGTTTGTCTGTTCTGAGCCTTGTTTTTGATGTTCCTGTGTATGCTCTATGATCTGCCAATGTATGAAAGGAAAAGGAAAGGCTTTTCTTTTTCTTAAATGCCTTTAACTCGAGCCTAATAAGCTAAAGGAGTCGATGCTGTTGGTGCTCCTGATGTAAAGTCTTCCATAAAACTAAAAATAAGTCTCAGAAGATGCAGTACTGAGATTCAAAAAAATTTTAAGTCGTTTGCTAGACAGGAGGAAAACCTTCTCCAAATATCCTACAGGCTGTTCCACTGCAACAGCTCAGTTCCCTGCCTGGGCTGTCCTGGACACAAAGGAAAACCCAGAGGGATCTCGGGTGGTCATTGGCCACCGCAGTCGAGTTTATTATGAACACTTGCCAACATCACAAGGCTACACAAATACAGTCATTAGTTCCAAGGGGCATAACTTCTGTGGAGATCCAGCTGATTCATCAGCTCTAGCTGGGATGAAAGACTGGGCAGTGCATAAAAGACTAGAAGAGACATACTGGATCATACAAATGATTAGCATTGAAACAAAGAGACTGCACACCTACTGCATTGACTCTGTAAGCAATAATTTTAAAAAAACTGCTGACACTTCTGTAGGATGGACAGAACAGGATTCTTTGCCTCGTTCCCAAATGCCACTGTAAGAATCATTTGCTCCTGTGGTGGCGATACACCAGGGTGCCATTTTTTCCCTTCCACTCCAATGCATCTCTGGACACAGCTTTACGTACAGGAGCAGTTGAGAGGCTCACTGAGAGCTGGCAGGAGGGCAGGTCGCTGCCAGATGTGCGTGCTGCTCCGTGCTGCAGATGTTGAAGACCAGCCCGATGCGCAGGAAGAACTTGCGCAGCACGGCGCGCAGCTCGGGGATCAGGTCGAACTGCATGATCTCACACAGGTACGGGTAGTAGGTGGAAGCATGTGCCCTGAACTAGCCAAGATACAGAAACACAGCGTCATTCTCCATGGCTAGAGCAAAATAAAAAGTGCTGACACGTTCATGGCTGCACCAAACACCAGGTCTCACCCAAGCCCTCCCGACGGCCCCGAGCTCCGAGCTCTGTGCTGTTTGTGGCAGCAGCAAACACAGGCCCTGCTTTGGTGTTACTCCCTAAACAGAGTCAGGGCTCAGTGACTTCTCAGCATAGAGGTAGTATCAGGGTCTATTTGTGGCAATATGAATACCTGCATTCCCTTTTCCTCAAAAGGGCCAAGATCCTGAAAATTATTCTTGCCATTGCTGTAAAGGAAACTGGAATTCCAATTTTACATTCCCTACCATTCCTGTGCAGCTGTAATATAACATAAGCCTCTCCCTTATTGCACACTCAGTGTGCTTTTATATGAAAGCTGTTCAGTAATTCTATCCACATTCCCACACAACTGGGAACTGCATGGATGCAGCCCCATTTCCACAATGCAGAATGCCTGCAGACAATGCAGCTGCCACTGCTGCATTGCAAGCAGAGTGCTCGCCATGAGGAACCTCCCACTCCAATCTGGGTGGAAATAAAGATTGAACCCAGGCTGAAGGAGGAATGAAAAACATACCCAAATGACTTCCAGCCTCTTACCTTATCATCACTGATTTTTAGCGTTTTTGTTAAAAGCAACAGCAGGAGATTGGTCCAGGCTTCTCTGTGGCTTTCTGAGTTGACAGTAATAAAATATGCCAGGGCTTCACTGCACACACTGCAAAGATGGCACAGTTCACACAAACCATAAAGAAAACCCTTAGAAAGTTTTTGATTACATGCTCTGTTTGTCTTCTCAGTGTACTTTGTTTTCAAGTAAGAAACTTCCACGGGAAAGTTTTCAATCACATGCAACAACTTTAACTACGAAAATTTGCTTTTTCTGGAAAAATAGGAATCGTTCCAGATAACTGAACTGAAATGCTTTTCATGTTGGTGACAGAGAAGGAAAAGGAAAATTAATCTGCCTGATAAACATTTTGTAATTGAAGTGCTGTCAGTTTCAACCTGCAAACATTATTTCCTGACCCTGACATTGGGACAGCTTAGGAAACAGCACCACGAGAGAGCTCTCCCTCCAAATTTGGACTGGTTTCATAAAAATCTGCTGCTCAGCATCACAGATTAAAGAAGAAGTATCATTGTATTAATAGATTTTTGATCCCTACTGCAGATTGTCAACACAAGGTACAAACTGTACCACTTACTATGGCTATTTTTAGGACACTCTTTTAATTAAAGAAGGACTAAGCAGATTAACATGTCCATAACATGCTGGTAGATCAGAATCCACTATATTAGTACCAAGAGCAAGTTGGGAGATCTTCACATTTGATAAGAGATTAGTTCTTTCAACTTTTATGTACCAACTCACCCAAATACCTTTTTATATTAATTTAGAACAATTTTCTACATTTGTTTAAATTCCAGGTGTACAACAGTTTATACTGCACTCTTTTGTCCCCGTTCCTCCAGCGGGGCCGGGTGTCCCCTCTCCCCCAGCAGGGCTGTGTGTCCCCGTTCCCCCAGCAGGGCTGTGTGTCCCCGTTCCCCCAGCAGGGCTGTGTGTCTGTCTGTCTGTCTGTCCCACCTGAGCAGCCGGCTCTGCACGGCGTCCCACGCCTCCCGCCGCCTCTCGTCCACGTACATCCGGAACAGGATCCTCAGGCAGCACGCCAGGCTGCTGGTCTCTTGTTTTAGGAGGTTGGGTTTTGATTTACCCTTGAACCCTAGAAATCAGTCCCACACAGGACAAGAGGGAACATCCAAAGCTGGTGTTATTGGCCAAAAATAAATTTTATCAACAATATGTGCACTAGTGACCAGTAATGATTTCTTGTCCAGACAGTATTTCCTTCTCCTTGATTTTGATTGAGTTCTGATTTATTTAGAACGATACTTAACTACAGTAGTACCAGCCGTGTAGCTCTACTTTAATAAAAAAGCAGATAATTTAGCAAACAGAATTATTCAAGTCATCAGGAAGGAGACAAGCAATAAAAGCATGTGACTGTCCAATAAACTCTAGAGGTGATTGCAATGGCACACTGTTGTGTCATGATACTTAAAGCCAGAAGTGCAGTTCAGCATTTTTATCAAATAAAAATAAAAGCCTCACCTGCTCTCCATAACACAGTTCGCTGCTCATAATTTGAATTAAAGGCTTTTGAAAATGAGTGAGACTCTTGCAGACAATCCAGTAATTTAAAAAGGTGATGTGAAGACATATGTTTATACATTCCTTGGTCTTCTGTGTCAATGTGGATATCTGCATCCAATGTGTCTCGCTAAAGAACAGGGGGAGAGGGACAGAGAGAGAGAGTGCATGCCATAAACTCCAGTAACTCTAATTGCATTTATAGGTGCAATGCAGTACAACACAGCAGAGTGGTCCTGTCAAAGATCAGAGTTGCACTCTTCTCAGTAGGGTACTTAAGAAGAGAGAAGTTATGATCAATCCTAGTTACTGACAAGAAAATAAGACTCAAGAGCAAGGGAAGAACTTCCTTATTGAGACATTGCAGTCACAGCAATACAGTACAGATTATTTCCTCTTCTCTAGAAGCTGACCGGGTAGGAGGTCTGCTGAATACTGAAAACATCAAAATGAACAACAAAACCAGTGTGGGTTTAAATGTTGCCTAGTGTAGAAATTCCCCATCTTTGGTCATGTTAAATTGGTCACTGTTTTAAATTCCTAGTGAAATTAGCTAAACTATGCAATCTCCAAAACACTATCTGAATGCACTAGCCAGAACTTCCAGCTCAGAGTTTTATTAACAGCCAAGCCAGAGCTACTGTGCACTGCTGCCCAGAATCAGAACTTTCAGGGACAGGAACATCTCTGAGGTTGGCAATGAGTGAAATCTTGACCATTGACCTTGCTGAACTTGAACTTCTGCAACATTTCCTGTGCAAACAGCAAGAGACTGAGCAGAGCCTCAGCTGTGGTAAATGAAGACACTCAGTCTAATGAGCAGAAGAGAATGCTTTCCCCAAACAAACAGAAACCATTTTTGATGACTACGCATTCATGATAAAAACAACTATAATCTACTATACTGATAATAAAAATTAAGGTAATATTATACTACAACAGGCAGACCACCAGGCAACACTGGAGGTGTTGAGACAAAAAATTCACAACTTAAGAGGAGTTTACACACACAATCAGGGTAGTGCTGAGAGTCAGCAAAAGAGTATTTGTGAACATGTCAGAGCTCTCCATAATTTGTGCTTTACTGTCACAACAAGGTTACAAGTGAGTCTGACATTACCTGAGCTGCAGCCATGTGCTCAGCATCTTCCTTCTTGCTTGTTGCTGGATAGAACACTATGTTATCAATGGTCTGTATCAACTCCAGCTGTACCACACACTTGATCAGGAGGCCAGCAAATAGTTTTTGGTCTAATGAAATGGAGCAACACAAGTTTCAGAAGCAATTCATGACAATTCACTTACAACAGGCTAGCAAAACATGACATTCCCCTTGACAATTTCATATTTAGTAATGCTGTGAATGATCTTCTAAAGAGAAAAATCTCACTGCAAGGCATAAACACAAATTGCAAAGACTTAAAAATTTTAACTGCCCCAAAACTTTATGTAGAGAACTACAGAAGTGAACTAAGACTGGCAATAAAGGTGCATTGAAAAAGCTTGTGTGTTTTCCTTACTGGTATAAGGACCACCTTTCCAGCTCTCATCTGTTGGATTTGAATATTGGCTTTGTCCTCTTTCAGAAGCATTTTTATCCATGCTGCTTAAAGACTGGTGATCTAGGTCCAAATCCTAGAAGAGAGTGCAGAGCAATTCCAGCAATCCAAAACACTAACTCCCAGCCAGCTATCACTTTTCAGATGACTTCTCTAATCCTAGATTCAAAGGCTTCCTCCCCCCATTCCTTACATCCTTTTTTACAATAACACCAAATAAAATATACAATCTACTGTCAATTCCTTGTCAATTTTATTAACTACAACAGAATATTTCAAAAGCTAACCTATTACAAAACCTTTCAACTCTTACCAAGTGTTTTTCAGATGAATCTTCCTCCATTCCTACAGGCTTCCATGTCAGCAAGCTTCACAGAGTTAAAGAAATAAAACAACAAAAAACAATAAACAAAGAAGGTAAATATTGTTGCTTTGGAATTGGGTATCAATAGAAGAATTAAACTTCTGAACTTACACATGAGGAATAGTTGTTTTGAAGATTTCTAGCATACAATTGCATGTCTGCCCCCAGACTTCAGGGCTGAACTTCTGTCCATTGAGTATTACCAGGTTTTCTAGGCAGTTTGTACCTGATCGTGCCAACTGCTCATTATCTGTGAAAGAAATGTTCCATATTTAGCAACTTCTACAATATCAATGAAAAATTAAGTATTCCCTATTACAGCTCCATTAAAAATTTTTACTAATAAAGAAAAAATAAAAAAATCAGAATGCATGCACATATCTATATGTGTAAATAAAGGAGGTAATGTATCACTGCAGTCAAACCAAGAAAGGTTGTTGCCAGAAGGTTCAGAAGATTGACACCATTCTGCAAAAGCTTGTTTTTGTCACAGTAACACCATGAGCCCATTATGAACACAGTAACAAAAAAGTTATCTAACTCAATAAAAAGATTAGTGCTCAGAAATTCAAGACATTGTATCAATCTACTGCGACACATATTGTCCTAATGGACAAATAATGTCCTAATTTTATTCTTCCAAAATTCAGTTACCCTTCCCCTTCTTAAGTACTGAACATTTAAAACTACATGTAATCAGAAGATCCAGGTAAATAAGGTACCTTGTTTTACACACCAGTGTAACTGTGCAAGTATGTCAGGAAGGAGGATCTCGTGCAAAGCTTCATAGAACTGTGTGAACACGTCACAGATGGCATAAAGGGCGTGGTTGCACGTCGTGGTCATCCACTCTGACTTCTGGGACAGAAAATGAAAAGTCTTTGCTTTTGTGGGGATTCTTCCATGATGACAATATTTGCCTTATACATGGCTGGTCAAGAAGAGACACAACTCAGAACGAAAGCCTCACGACTGCAGATGTCTTGTCAGAAGCACTTATTTGGTCACATGAACACTGCTCAGAAAACTGTACATGTTCACAACAGAGGGAGAACATTCTCCTTGAAAATAATCAGACACACACAGGTCACTGGACACTGTGGCAAGTTTCATTCATGCCACAGAACTCAGCAGAACACAGAACGTGTTTAGTTCAGTCAGGGGCAGTATGGGGTGGCAATATCTGATGTCAATAGAAACTGCTGCCTCAGGTGTGTGAGTCCTTAAGAACACAACTCTAGGGAATGTTTGCTTTTTGGTTTTTTTTGGTTTTACCTCTGTTTGTTGTTCAGGGAGTTTCATATTATCAAAAATCCGAAAGACAATTCTAAACAGGTCTTGCCACCAGTGCTTTTCAAAGGTATGCCCGTAACTCTTCATGATTTCAAACATCACTGTTAAGCCTCTACAAAAAACCCAAACAAGTATAGGAACAGATGTTAAAATGTGTTCCTGTGATATCTTCACCGAATTAATTAAAATAAAAGAAAAAAAGGGAAAAAAGAAAAGTTTTATTACCTTGTACGAACATCTAACTTGCAACGATTGATGATACAAGAAAGTTCAAACAAAATAGGAAACCATCCTCTGACCCACACTCTGTCCCCAGGAGCCACATTCATGTCATCACTTGTGTATTCTCTTAATACCTTGAAGATCAACAGGAAAAAAAGATTAAAAGAAAAATTATCTTAAAAATCTTTTATGTGACAAATGTAGATAGTACCAGTGGTGCAGACAGACTTGGAAAGTTAGCTTAGTTCCTACTGTAACACTCCAATCCTGCAAAATATAAGTATAGCTCTGAGATGTAACTATTGGCAAAAATATTAGAAATCATATATGGAAATAAACAATCTGTTTTTATTTCAGTCCAACTAAAGGCCTTACAAGTTGCTGAGCTCTGGACTTCTTAGAAAGCAATTTTAACAATGACAGACAACTGATACACATGTAACAAGCAAATCTAAAACTGGCAGAAACCAGTTCTACAAGTCTCTGATACCCTGAATGCAGCACACAGTGGGGACATGCAACTGCAATGTAACTCCAGGCTCTCCTCAGCCAGTGGTTATTGCATTCATTATTCACACAACAGACTGATGGAGAAGAATGACCATGTTTGTAACCAACTGAACTAGACATAACTAGAGTGACAGAAGAGGAAGCACTGCTTTCCAAGTCATCTTAATACCACAAAAATAAAAACTAAGGACTATTTAATTCAGTTATTTCCCATTTGGACTTAAAAGACTTAAGATTACTTAAGTAGCCCTAGTTTACTGCTTACATAATACCAAAATTTCTCCTAAATCCAAATAAGCTTTGAATACAAAGACTTGCAATTGAAGTTTGAGTATGAAGGCTCTTTCTTAGTAGATGAATCTCCATTTAACAGTAGAAGAGAGTATGAAGATGCAGCAGGGTAAAAATTCAAACATACCTGTGGTCTTTCAGAGACGTATTTTGCACAATAGCGAATAAGCCTGATGGCTTCCATGCTGGTGTCTGGGAAGGCAACATTGCAGGCAAACTCAGAGAGGCATTTTACTGCATCCTGAAAGGAGTCAATTGCTGCTGGAAAATGCTGCTGAAAAATATTTGCTGTGAAAAACAAAACAAATGAACTTTTTACAATTTATTGATACTAAAATTCATAGATAAACTGCATCAGTCTAGGCATGTCACCCATGGTATACTGCTATGACAGACATGAAAGGACCAGATCTACATTAAATATGGTTCTTTGCCCTCTCTTGCATTCTTCCCTGTCCCACCTCACCAACCACATTGCAAGGTTCTACAGCAGAATATCTGTATCTAGTTAGTCTTGTCCATAGCATTCAGGAGACTTCAAGGGTATTACCCAGCTGCAGAGTTTAAAGTCTGCCTGCAAGGTTGTGTGTTTACTTGCCTGGAAATACAAAACCCTTATTCAGACAAGCCTTTTGAAGCAGACTCACAGCAGCCAAGCTGATTTGGGTGCATACATCTGTCAAGCATTACTTACTAACTATGTGTGCTGTAGTCTGAAAGGCCAGCTCTACAATATTCCCATCATGGTCTGATGCTGCTTGATGAAAGACTGCAAAGATATTTTTCCAGCCTGAACGAATGTTACCAGCTTGGGAGTTGACCATCTGAGCAATACAGCGGATCACCATGTCTCGAATGGTCGGAGATCTTAAAAAATAAAGAAGAGAAAGGAAAGCAAGACTGCTTTACACTGGCACAAAGTAACTGCCCCACCTCCCTGTACATGATCATCTAACCCACACCAAGTGACATCCTTAAATGGGACTAAAGCAAGCTAAAGCAGAAATTGCAGTGCTCACACCTGTTTTTCTTCATAATATGCTCAAAAGGCCTTAGGAAGTCTTTCTGGAAGCGGAAGTTGGCTAACTCTCCCTTCTCAAGAAATTTCATTGACAGCTGCCTTAATGAGTCTACAGCAAAGATGGCAACATCTTCATTAGGGTTACACCCAACCTAGAAGAAAAGCATATTTTCAAACACTTATCAGTTAATGTGTCATTTCTTAACTAACACACTCAACATTGCTATCACATTTTAGTGTTCAGATACTTGGGAAAGGGTTCTTGTTGAGGGGGGCTTTCTGTCATTTCGTCCATCTAAACAGACCCATGGATTCTGAATGCATCAAAGCAGAACTATAATAGCCAGCTAGATGCTAAAATTAAAATACAGTACAATACAATAAAATTAATGAAATCTTTGGTTACAAAGATCCCATCCTAACGTGATTCAATTTCCTAAGGAAAACAACTTGTTCCAGGATCACCTGTACACATTCTAGAGGAAAACTGATTTGGCATTTTATCCAAAGGAAAAGACAAATTAAAACTACAAAAATACCAAATCACATAATGAAGATTATTTAATTCAAGATCATTCCTATAAACATTTCTATTTGAACACATTAAATTTTTAAATAGGTGCCTCGAAATGGAATTCTTTTCAATATCAGAGTTCAAGCCACTAACAACACAGAAGGGAAAAGCTGATTCAAGAAGTCCCTCTCTTGATGTAGTGTCAGCTGATTTGTACAAGCACCTTATTGAAGTGATCTCCAATGACGTGCCAGATCCTGGACCACTGCAGGCGGATGCGGTTCATGTTGTAATAGGAGATCTCCACGATCTTCTGCAGGCTGAACATGCGCGGCTGGTGCGGGGACGCCAGCTCGTCCATGGACACGGCGCACAGCCAGCGCACAAAGTCCACTGCAGGGGACAGGGCAGTGTGAGCCAGGCTGCCCCCGTGCCAGGGGCCCTGGCACCCCCCTCACCTACCTATGGCATTGCCGTCCAGCCTCGTGGAGCCCGTGAATATCCTACAACAAACACAGAGTTGGGGTTTCAGCTGCGAGTCCACAGGAGCCCGTCACAGCTCAGTGCTGAGGAACAGCCCAGCACACCTGGAGGTACTCCACAGTCCTTGCCATGAACTCTGCACCTCCTGTATTCTTGCTCCTCGGCAGCACTACATGCATCTTTCCTTAGTCTATGCATCCTCCTTCCTGCACCCAGGCACAGTCTGCCGTGCTCCTGCCCTGCTGCAGGAACAGGCACAGGCTCACAAGTTTAGCCAGGCCAAGTTAAGCTGGAACACTCACTTAGGTGACAGCATGTTAAATTTCATGGGGACAATAAACAATAAGAAAGTTTTGCTACAAGACTTTACTTGTTATCAGCCACCTTTGATCTTTACATCCTCTGAGAATATGGCTGGCTGTGGCTGTCAAAACAGACAGGAGAAAGACTAGGGATGCACTGTTGTCCCTTCTTCCCCTTCAGCTGTTCAGTCTTGAGAGGAGTTCAGACTGCTGATAGTGGTCCATACAGAGCACTGATAAAGCAGAGAACACTCCCAAATGTTCTGGACTTTGATGTGGTGATAGACACATTAATGATTAGAATAAATACTGCAAGTCTGAATATATGATTGTGCCGACTTGCACAATTGCATCAGTAGTTACTAAGAACTCCCATTCATAGCTTAGGATAGAAGCATGTTTTTAGTCAACATTTCAGAAAGGCAGATGACACATGATGGTTTAGGTTCCATTCTCAGTACCTGTCCACTGCTACCACCACACTCTGGGAGCTGGTCTCCCCCACAGACTCCTGGATGCTCGCCATGTGCCGTTTGTCAGCCCCACTCCCAACGAGGTTCCCTGCAATAAATCCATCAGAAACAGTATTTGTCATCAGGAAATAACGATTTCATATTAACTCCAATATCAAACAAGTTGACAAAGGGAAGTGACTATTACTTCTAGTCACCGTGTAATTTATATGGAGCAGATGGTGCCATTGCCCTATCATTACACAAATAATCATTGTATTTATTAGGTTAAGATGATATGATATTGTTCATAAAATTGGTACAGATAAAATACTATTTTAAAATATGAACTCTAAGTCAGCTACAAACAGTTAATGCTGAATACAGTTCTGTATTTATTGTAATCATCATATATAGCATCCGCTCCAGAGTTTTTTAAAATTAAATTGTTTCCTTAGTGGTGTTACAAAGATTAAGGCAACTTGCCTTGTCTGTCTAATTTACAGCCAAAAATCTAAGGTTTGTTTCTTGTACACACTGCAGAAGCAATAGGAACTAGAACAGCAAGCTCAACACTCAGAGATAAGAAATTCCTTTGGAAATCCAATTGTCAGTTATCGAAATATCTATTAATTCCTAAAAATAAATGGCTCTTTTTTCTATTAATTAATACTTCTAAAAAAACCATATCTTTGTATGGTAAAACAGTTTTGACAACATATTCCAACAAATAAATCTGGAATAGTTATCAAATAGCTTAACCTAATTCCAAAGTTAGAAGAGATTTGGTAGTTATAAACACATATTGGAATACACAGTTTCATTAATCCAACACAGCTTCCCCAGGAAGCAAGTAAATATATTTGAGTATGTTAGAACATTGAGGATTCTTTAACACCCTTACTCCACTTGTATGTGCACCGTGGTGAAGCTCAGGATTAAGAATCTTACCTAATCCCAGGCTCATGAAGTCCTCTCCTGCAGAGGCATAGCCCTTGATGCTGCCTTCCCTGTCACGCCCAGAGCCAGACAAATACCGAGTTTTCACACCAGTTCCTATGAGCTGTGCCAGCTCCAGCTGGCTAATGCATTTCAAGATCTAAAACCAAAAGAAACATTGTGTTTCTGCACACCACCATCTTTTTATTCTTAGCATATATTTGTATTTAATATTTATGACCTTCCCAGGTTCTCCAACCATTCAAACAACTTTGGCCATGATAACAGCTCTGATGGAGCTAAAACACTACTAATACAACTGAAAATGAAATTGAGTGGTTCATTCAATATCATCAGCCACCATGAATCATTCCAATACAAGAATAAAATAAACACTGCTCCAAAATCTAACCTGGATCTCTAACTACTAAAGGACACCTTTTTTTTTCTATTACTTTTTACAGAATCAACTTTCAAGGCTATTACCAAGTTGGAGCTGATGTTCTAGAGACTTCATTGTCCTAGAGAGATGAAAAGACTGAAACATTGCAGCTCTCACCACCTGAGTAATGAGTTTCCAGCCTGGACAGTTTAAATGCCAATGCTGTGCTTGCCATGGCACAAAATTGACTCTCCTCCTTCTTCCTCCCCCAGGGCCACATCCCTTGGCTGGCACAAGCAACTCAGCAGAGTGTGCTGTGAGCCAGGTCTGAGCAGCTCTAGCACATTTTGGCTCATACCATGTAGGCCAAGACTAGAGCCAGAGAACAGAATGCAGCAGAAATGCTCCTTTTAGCAACAGCACAGATTTAGAGTTGATAAAACAGCTCCTGAAAAATAGGCTTTAAGAAAAATATAATCCTGAAAACTCATCTTTACCAATCATCCACCAAAGTATTTAAGCCCTGATTTTTCACGTGCTTATGGTGTAAATGTCACCAAACATTGCACAGACAAATCTGGACCTGTGAGCTAGAATATTTTTGTTTCCATAAATAAAAGTACAATAGTTTATATGCAGAATTTTCTGAAGCCAGATGAGATTTTTTTATATAATTTCAATTCCATATCAAATGCAGACACAAAAATTACAATATTGTCACACAATTTCCACAGGGTCTTAAAATAATGCAGTGCATTATTTTTATACATATATTAAAAAAAAAAAAAAACAAACTTAACAATATAATGCACTTCCTTCACATTTTAAAGAGGATTCTGGGAGCTGATAGCAGAAGAAAAGATTTGACACCACATTCACTCTTTAAATTAATAAAGATTTACCTCATGCCAAGAATTGCCAAGATAGTTGCCATCTGTGTGAGCAACTGTAATGAGTGTCTTAATGGTATCAATGTTCTTCTGTTTCATTTCTGTAATGCTGGAACTGGCAGTCAGCAAGGAAAAACGAGCAAGGGCCTGGACATAAGCATCTCGTTCAAGCTACAGGACAGAGAAACAAGCATCAAAATCAAATCCCCAAAGATCCAGAGAAAGCAGCTTGCCTACAAATCTTCCTTCTCTGCCTAGCTGGCACTGTTAGAACACTTTCCAGCTGAAGGATGTAGGATGCCAGTTAGCAAACACTCCTAATAGAAGATTCAGCAAGAAGAAGAAAAGCAGAGTTGAAGAAATGTTTGATTACATCACGATCTTTTACCATTTCAAGAAAGCAGATGAGACACTTCATCTTCTATGTATAAGCTGTTTGTGATTCTTCACCTGCCTCCCAGAGCCCACATGACCCTCAGCAAGTCCCAGGCTAAGTCTGGCACCAACCTGCATTCCAAAGATACAGGCTATCCTAATGGCACAGCGAATTCCTTCCAAACACAGGGATGCCACTTCTGTGTCATCACAGTTCTGCAAGCCAACACTGTAAGCTGCCAGCAGTGGAGTCCACACAAGCTAAACAGAGGAAGAAACTAAATTCAGAAGTCTCTTACAACTTTAGCCCAAAACACTGGGTTACTGAAGCCAAATATATCCAAAGAGTCCATCTGTTGCATTAGCAAACTCTTCAGAGTAATTTCCCTTTTTTTCCCCCCATGCTTAAAACTTTTCATAGTAAGAACCTGCCACTCACTTTGAACATGGGTCTGACATGGTCCAGGTGAGTGGCACTGGTGAAAGGTGCCTTTGCATGGCTCACTGCCTCCATGAGGGCTTTGGCTGTCTTTGCCATTTGCTCCATCTCCAAGTTGTACAACAACCTCCGCTGCTTCTCATTAGCTACACCTAAGGGGAACACCACACACACACATTGCTTGCTGTTCTTACAAGAGCATATTCTGCCTCTTCACACTGAGTGTCACAAAACCTTAAATAAAGCTATTGCAAATCAGATCTAAAGCTAGAAATCGTGCAAAATCTTAGAAGTCAGGAGGCTGCCCCAGGCTGCAAGCAAGGAAGTCCAGCACTAAAAACCACACCCAAACTTCAGACTTTACTTTGTACAAAATAACTAATTCAGCCCTTTACTATGTAACACATGATATTACTTAATTGTTCCAAGTCAGAGGTGCAAACTCTATTATGCCATTCTGCCTGTAAAAGTGGGTGGGAAATCCTGTATCTTCTTAGGCTCATCCCCAAAACAAACCAAGACTCAACAACATGATAAATAAATTAATAACTTAGTGTTTCTTTATCCTTATACTACAGGGTGCAACTTCGACTTTCAAGCAAATCAATTTTGTTCCTATTTTGACTGAGAAAACCCCTATGCTGAAGATTCAGAATTCAGCAATTTGAATTAAGTTAGTTTGTGAGTAAAAATAGGGTACAGCTGGGGATACTGGTTTCTACTGCATGGTACACACAGAAGCCCTGGTTTGGTGTGGGTGAGGAGAGGTGACTATTGATCATGACTCTAATCTCTAGATCATAACTCTCGAATCTCTCTGGTTTGCAAACACTATTGTAAGGACTGTGACATCTCCCAGCCACCGAACTATGGAGGGAGACAAACAACCACCCTAAATCAAGCCCATTGTCTAGCACATACAAACAAGTTAATTACAAAGTAAGCTCCCCCCGAGTTACTCCTCTCACTCGTGTTTGAAAACCCCAAGAGCTCTGGTTTCTAGCACTGCTCTGCACCTACACAGCTGTTCCCACCACACAAGGCAGTGTGAAATTGTGACTGAGCCAGTTCCATTCCATGTACCTCTATCAACCCTTCTCAATGTACTTCAGGTATTGCCCCAGGGCATTTTCACAAGGACTCTGCACACACTGTGCCATCCCTAAGCTCCTGCCATAGCTCAAGAGCACTGTGGTCTTCCCAGTTTCAAGTTCCTCCTTACTTGGTTTACTACACTTGGTTGTAATTGCATATTCTTTTGTCTCTTTCATTGCAATTTTCTTTCCTTCTATTTCTTCATAGATTGTGGATAAATACTCTTCTGGCAGGTCTTTACTGTCATTGATTCCTCGATTCATTTTAATGTACTGCTCCTTTGTCATTTTATTTTTTACCTGTAAGAAGGAATAAGTTGGATATCAGATTTTGAATGTAAGTTCAAGGGAAATCTGAACTCCTGTAAGTTTGGATTTTTTAAATTTCTACCTGTGGACTGTGCAAGTCTGTAGTCAGCATTATAATGGAGTATGCCAAAACATAGGCAGTGTCTGCACTAGCAAATAGTGTTTGCCTGAGGGAGGAAAAAAAAACAGGTTTATAGACTCACAATTCCTCAATCCATTAGCTCTATTTCCATATGCAAGAAAAATACCCAGAAGTGCTACGGATTCAACCAAAGAGCCAAAAAAGACTGAAGCTATCCATTAGAAACGCATCAAACTCCAAGCAGCTTAAAGCACAATAAAAAGGGAGGGAAAAAGCACATCATCATTGCAATATTAAAAACTAGAGGTGTCTGAGATTTTCAAGTACATTCCCTACCGATTACCTGAATAATAATAATGCATAATCTTAAAAAAGTTAAAGGACAGCTTATTTTTCACTCACAGTTTCATAAAGATTGATACAAAACCAACCCACTGATACAACCCTGGACTAAGGAAAGGGAACTAATCAAGCCTGACTAAACTTCAGTGCTGATTGCATTAGGAACAATAGCAACTTTGTCTATTTGGTATCAAATAACATATACACATTTTGTTCTACATCTAACAGGCAAGCAAAAGCATTGTAACATCCTATTAGCTGTTTTAATTCTAGCCATTTCTACTGCTTAATACTGTCTTTTATACTCGACTGATCTACATTTGTCTAAAATTGTCTCTGTATTAGCTGTTGCATTTTAACATACTTGGGGCTTCCCACTTCCAGTAATTCCTTCTAGCAAGTACTTGGGATTTAAGGAAATGCAAGCATCAGTATCCTTCCTATGCAATATGAGCAGCAAGATCTCTCCACAGAAGCCTGCACAAGTTCTTGGCCTGGTATGAGCTAAATCCATCCCCTGCCCCTAAGGGCCACACCACAGTACAGCCAGGGAATGTTCTCTAGGCACTGATCTGATGCCAAGGGTTTGAATTACCTTTGGTTGCATTCAATATATCTAGCAGCAAACTTCTCCATTAATCTATCAATCTTCTGGGCTTCCCCTGGCAGACGAAAACCTTCCAGGAAAATCCGCAGAGCAGAGACAAAGTCTTTTCCACAGAAATCAAGCTGGTCTACATAGGCATACATCACTTCCTTGTTAAACTTGCTGCTTTCCCCAAGAAATTCCCCCACTTGAGTCTAAAAAACACAAGAGACAGTTATTACTGTGCAATCCAAGTGCCAGCTCTGCAAGAGGGTTTCTGGGCCAAGAGTTGCACAGCTGTCAGCTCTGAAAAGCTGGCACTCTGCAGAGTGGGCAGAGCAGCCAGGGGAGGGGTGGAGAGGGAGAGGGGTCTCAGATATGGCCCCTCAGCCTGCAGATTCCTGCTTCCCTCGCTGCCAAAGGCAAGATCTGCATCACTGCAGAGCCAGGCAAAGCTGAACTGTGCCCAGTTGCACACACAGCAGAGCAAGGGACTGCCAGCAGCTGACACTACTCTGTGTCCTGCCAGCCTCCAGGGACAGGCAAAATGCACATCCCATTGATGGGGAGCCCTCCAGCACTTCACTGTCACACAGTATTCACTAGGGAGCTGTGGCATTAGGTGTGTCCATGAGGAGCCCTGCACGTTCATTTCTCTAAGGTATGAACTCCAGAGCAGGGCACACACACACCAGGGACAGGGCCAAAGGCACTGGGTACAATTAAGTGTATTAATTGTGCTGCAATCTTACAGAGCAGAGGCGTTCCTCTTGGTGCAAGAATTGTGCCAGGTCCTCTGCTGTAGTGCCAAGCATTCCCTGCTCCTGTAGATACTGTATTCCTCTCTTTGGTTTTTTATTAAACCTATTCAGACAAAAACATGAGAAAATTGACATGCAATTAAAAATATCACAGTCTATAAAATTTATGTTTTACAGAGTCCTCATAAATCAAAGATTCTGTGTTGTAGGTTCATGTCTTTTCTTTCTAGTTAGGAAAAGTTAACAATGTGCAACAAATCTATTACCTATATCACACCATAGGCTCCATCTCATAAGGTACATTGAATTGCTGATAACTTAGAAGTTACTACTGGAAAACTCCAAAGCTCACCTTTTTGAACATTAAAAATTAGAGGCTTTGCATGAAATGTCAAAAATGTTGCTGTTCAAGACCTTTTTCTAGCATTTACAGACATGAAGACTTCTAAATTAATGAAAAAGAAGTAAAGCATAGCTGCACAATGATTTAAATCTTCAAACTCTATTTCAACAAAGGACAACAAATCATGTAAGAGCTGCAATACAACTGTGCCCTCAAACCAATTTCTCTCTGGACATACACACTCTTGTGGAACTGAGCCAGCAAAATGGAAAGCTGTCAAAACTCCTTCCACTCCACCCAGGATTTTATGAAATTCCTTTTAACTGTAAGAGCCTCCAGCACTGGTTGTTGACAACAGCAGACAAGAGTCTTCAGCATTAATATTAATTTTTAAGTGTCCCTACAGGTGTGACTGTGAGACCATAAAAAACAATACATTTTATTATTAGTGAACTTTAGTTTTCCTGTCATACTGGGCTTACAGTTCTATCCCATGTTCAATTATTTCCTTTTGTTGCTTGATGACTTCAAATTGCTCTGGATCATCTGGGACAGCAGTCTGGGTACCAATACTCCCAACTCCTGATGATACAGTGGAGTCCAAGGAACTGACACTGCTCCTTCTCCCTCCGGCGTCCAGGCATTTCCCTTCAGCCATTTCCTGTTCAGATGGTTTATATGAACCTATTTACAAACAAGGTGAGATTCAACTTATCCTTGTTCAGTCAAGAGCTTTTAGTTACAGATCTTTTAAGCAGAAATCTGTGAGTCAATATTCTTATTTTACCATGTATACCTTTTGGCAGTCTGCACTACACTATGTGAAGATGCTCTATTGATGCAATTCTAAAACAATCCAACAAAAGGCAGAAAAGCAGCAGCATTTATGGAGAAATTCCAGCACTTCAACTTAGTAAATCAAGACTGGTGGCATGTCTTGTTCTATAGCAGACAAAGGCCTGGCTAAAGATTATCAACAGAACCCAGTTATTCAAACCAGACACCTGGAGAATCAGCTACTGCAATAGCACTAACTGTTTGTAAAATACCTCACTTGTGTAAACAAATTGTTAGATACAAACCTGGCATCCACACTTCTGAACAGCTTCTAAACACTGAACAAACACAAGAATGAATTGATTAAATAAACCAGTCTCTCCATACAGAAACAATCTTACCCAAGCTAGTCTGATGATTGGGGTTCACATAAAGGTCTTTGCTCCATTCTACCATACATTTTAAAATAGAAACCAAACATTCAAGTCCTTTTTTCCTCAGGCTTAGTTCCTAAAACATGAAGAAGAATAATAAAATAAAAAAAGAAAAAACAAACCAACAAACCATGCTGAAAACAGTCTCTACAAAAGTCTCCCTCTAAGGCTAGAAAAGCATAATCTTAAAAATAGAATGCTTATGGTGGAGATATGGCAAAAGTCTGTGCAAAGCAAACCCCACAGACAGGACCACTGGTCCATGAGCTCCAAAAGGAAATCATTTAACTGAGGCAGAGGAAGGCTCGTTTGGTTCTCTCTCCCTTGCCAGTCCAGCTAAAGAGACCAGAACCAGCCTGGTCTCACAGTGCAAACAGGCAGCAAAATCACCAAGTAATTAATGGCACTGCTTCAGTATCCAATTGCAAATTATCAAACCAATAAAAAGTAACATCAGTAGGTTACAGACAACGTGAACCTCTGGAAGGATCAGTAACAATGCAAAGATAGCAGTGTTTACAAAACAACAGTACCTTATGTTCAAAGCTCTTTTCCTTACCTGTAAAGGTGTCATTCCCAGCTCGTGCCCACTTCGTCCCTGGGCGATTTTGGACAAATCATTCACAAGACGTTCAAATATATTAGCAGCATTCAAATCACAATCATAGTTAACATAAATGTCCACTACACATTGGGCATCTGGAAAATAAAAGGAAATGGAAGTATTAGGATTCTGTGCAATAGAATTGTTTAAAGGAATCAGTTGGAGCAGGCAGTGCAGACAATCCAAGCACTCGACGATCAAATTCAAGTTTTCATACTTAAAACATTACATGTGGCATTTCTTTTCAAAATAATTTTCATCTGCTGACAGAAGAAATTACTGTTTTACACAGTGGAAATACCTGCACAGATTCTTGTTAAAGTCTGAATCACCATCCATTTGTGCTCAAAGGAACTTGAAGAAGTCTCTAGAATATTCAGGAAGATCTCTTTGAAGAACACCTGCAAAATAAATAAGGTTAAGGACTTGATGATTTGGAACGTATTAGAACCACATCAAATGTACAGATTCATTTCTGTTCAGTATTTTCTCTTGAAGAGTAGCATTTAATGCATATTATAATTTGGATACAGTAGTAATATATTAGTTTAGCAAGCAAACCACACTAAGACATTAAAATGGAGATTCCAGCTGTCTTTTTACCATTATAGTATTTTGAGAACTAGAGCATATGCAGTTTATAGATTAAAAGTCTCTCACCTCAATCTGCATTTTTAAATGAGTCTTAAAATTTGAAAGCAACGTGAGGAAGATGGCAAGAGAGAGCTCAAACACATCAGGAACAGAAGAGACTCCATTTTTAGATAATGCTACACAAAGATATTGCTTGATTGCATTGATGAACATTTCATGTGTCCTGAAAACCAGACCAGCATTCTGCAGCACTGAGAGAAGCAGCTGGAGAGACACAACCTTGGAACGCAATTCATGGGACCTAGAAAAAATTCAACATTAAATGCATTTCTGTATTTTCTTAGCATATTCTTGCATTAGACATTAGCACTGTAGTATTTCTTCCACATCAGGAAGAAATTACTGCTGCTTTGGTTCATTTAAATGCAGGGGGCAAGAGGGGTGGAAATTGGCCAAGTGATTTTTGAACTTCTACCATCCAAACTTGAAAATCTTTTCAGTAACATTAACATCTTAGACTAGCTTAATAAATGCAGCTCTGTGCTTCTTAAGCACCTCCCCACTCTCTCATCAAAAGCTTCACAAATACTGTAGTCAAGGCCATTCCAACTGGTAGGATTAATAAGCCTATTATGTAAAAACCAAAATTCTCAAGTATTGAATTTTTAATAATTTGAAACTATTTTCAATCCTAGATTCATCAAGCTAACTAAACCATGGACCTGACAAGTAGATTTTGAACACCTGGTTAACTATACAGCAGCTACTTAACAATCTCCAAAAGCTGCCAGGAGTGGACAGAATAATAAATAAATAGAGTCTCATACTTGGGATCTGGTGGTCCTTCCCCCAGAGGTTTCATTGAGAGCTTGCACAACGACCTGAACACAAGGAAGGCATCCTTCTGTAGAACATGGGAAAACCTGGCAGCAGCCTGATGTCCAGACACATCTGTTTCCTTGAGAGAAAGAAATACAACACAGACCCTCATTGAGACAAAGAAACAAAGCAATTAGGAGATTCCACAGCTCCTCTGAGAATCAGTTTCACTTTAAAGCACACCTAAACAGGATTACAAGGGATCTGGGTCTTTTCACACATGATGACTTGACCCTTGATCTCTGTCCCCACTCTATATTAAAATACAACTAATATAATCCATTTTAGGACAAGTATTCTCAATATATGCTTAAACTGCAGGTGCTGCTTCCTTTTTGAACCTGAGCAGGACACACACATTAGAGTTTCTGTGCCTTTCTTCTGCCAAATCCCACTCAATTAGTTGTCACAATAAAAACATTTCTTCTTTCATAGATATATATTGGCATCCAGTGCAGCTATTTACCAGATTATCGGTGGAGGAAACAGACTGCCCATCATCTGGAATCCCATTTGTTTGTACATTTTCATTGCTAGAGCCAGATAGAAGAGTATCTGCAGTCTCTAATGCAGGCAGAGTCTTGACAGGTTCTGTTACCTGCTTTTCTTCAGCCACTAAAGGGGAAAAAGGAAAAATTATTAAAATCACGCATGAAGAGCTTTCCATCCCATGACTTTGGGAAGCTCTACCACCCAGTGGCACAGAAGTAGCACTGGGAATGTAGAAAGTTTCTCAGCTATCAGCAAAAGAATATTATGTTACATCAAAACCTGTTCTTGCTGCCTTAGTAGGTGTTCTTGTCAAAATACTTAGTAACAAAAATTACTTCAATGCTTCTATAATCAATACACATGCAACGATTTTACTTTAGAAGACTTCACTACCTTTCACAGCTGACTCCACCACATCTTCCAAGATGCCTTGGACCATTTCCTTTCCTCCATCAATTGTTTCCTCTAATGAAACACAGTGAGAATTTTTAATTTTTTTTTGTTGTTTAGGAAGATGATTAAAAGCAAAAACATGACAGAGGCAGAAGCATAAAAATTTATCAGTTTTCTTCAGCAGTTCTCATTGAAAGTCATTTCTGAGAAGTCATTCAAAAATACTCATTGATGTTATTTATGTTGTTTGAATCAAAGCACTGATATTTTTAATGCAGTTATTTTGTCATTTTTATTTATCAGCTGTTACAAAGATTCCTAATTTGGATGCAGAATGTGATGATATGGTCTTCATAATATGCACCATTTTTATCACTTCAACAAGGACTTCAGCTACCTGAGAGCAGTTCTGTCACTCCCCATATACCATGACAACTCTCTTCCTTTCCTTCCCCTTTATCAACCTATTCAAGTCAAATTCCATTACAATTCTCTATAGATAAACCACACGTGATTTAACTGGAACTCTAGGGAGAGCAGGAACCTTTCTGCAGCAGCTCTAGTGTAGACACAAGCTGAGGATGGCAGCACACTCTGCAAGTCTACTGAGGAGAGCCAAAGGAGCCCAGTGACCTCACCACTGCTCCTCAAAGGCTCCAAGAGCACCCTGCAACGAGCCAGCTATGAGTGAGAGTGAAAGCAACAGACCCCAGGCTGTGCTCACCTGCACCTGGCACGGTGGGGGCCACCTGCAGCTCCCCGTGGCCAGTTTCCCCGTTGGCCAGCACGCTGCCCCCGCTGCCAGCCCTGCCTCCCCAGCCGTGCTGTCGCTGTCCTGGCCGTGGGGACTGCGGCTTCTGCGCTCGCTCTGCTTCTCTGGACTCCTGCAGCTTGAAACACACACAGAGAAAGGGTCATCCAAGCACAGAACACACCCAGGAAAATCCTGTTTACGATGACTGATACTCCCCTGTGAATTCACATCTTAGCAGGAAACTGTGAAACTGCAATCACTTGGCCAACAAGATTAAAAAGATACATTTCAAGTTTGTTTGAAAAGCATCATTTGTTTATCCAATGCCATTTGGCAGAAGCTACGGTGTGAAACCTTGTTATCAGCAGTTCAAGTCACCTTTTATTTTCAAATCAGTCAGGCTTTCTAACGCTACAAATCAACAGATATGCAACTACAATGACAGATCCATTAAGAAGAATAATTAAAAGTTTTCAGTCGTTTACAATCCTAAACATTTGAAATGAGAAAAAGGAATAGCTACTTACAGCTTGATTTTCCATCCGTGTAAAAATGACATTTAACATCTGTGTCAGGGTAGCTTTGGCAGTTGTCTGGTTAATAAGATTTTTACTGGCCAGATAGATGTTGTAGCAGGTTCTAACAGTTTGAAGAATTGTTCCTTCATGAATTTCTATATATGGAGATGTTACTGCAGTGAGAAGAGCCTAGAAAAGTCCATAACATGGTAAAAATGAAACTTAAGCAAGTAGACAGCAATGCTCTTCGTGCCCTTCTTCATGCATGTCTTCCAGAATAATCACTGGGTTTGCTACAAAACACAGATATCTTTTTTTAAGCCTTTACAAGCAACAGTATTTCAAATCTGTTCAAATAAAGAAAGTTTAAGAGGACTTCTACGTCTCTGTTCTCTCCTTTGTTGTTCTTAGAGGGTCTTATCAAAACTAATTTTCCACCAAGGGAGATACTCCACCTCCAAAATAAAGTTACTATATGTCAGAGCTTCATTTCCACACGAGAGCCAGCTGGCCTACACTAACATCAAATTACATTGCTGGAAGGTTCACCAACTTCCAGTGTCAGCTACAGCAGCCCAAGGAGATTTCAGAGTACACAGCACTGATGGACATTACCATGCCTTGTTGAGAACATACACTGGCAGCTGTCTGGAAAAATGGCCAGGGGAGCAGACAGGCTGGAACAGCATTCCATGGCACTGCATCCCAGTTCCAGGGCCTGCTATCAGGGCTGAAAGCAATTCCCTGGCCTGATGGAGGTGGGCACTGCGAGCCTCTAAGAGCAGCACCAAGCTGTCTGAAAGATGGCTTATCTCAGAAAAGACAAGCATTTATAAAATAATCCCTTACATTCTGCTTTCCCAACAGGAAGTACATTTTCCTCACCAATCCTGCCCTGGTGACAGCCTCCCTGAATGCACTGACACGTGGGACAATGGAAGAAATGAAGCAACTGGGCCCTCAGTAATATTTCACTTTTTCTTTTCAGTTACAAAATGAAAGAGAGAGAAAGCAACAAAACAATCGAATAAAATACCTTAATTATCTGCAGTTGTACCCCTTCATCCGTCTGAGGACCCTGAAAGCAGTTGCAGATGGTGTCCACGATCCGGTCGATCAGGCGCTTGCCGGGAGCTCCGCTGTCCGGAGCATTGCCAGTGATGTGCCCGTAGGCAATGAGTTTCTAGACGGAAAGAGTGCAGCTTAGATGAACACATACTGTCAAGGAAAACACAGTTTAGCACAGCAGAAAAAGGCATGTTTAGATAGCATACCTCACGAAACCGGTTTTAACCCAAACATTTAACACCATTTATAGTCTGGCCACCAAATATTTGGACTGCTCACATATGGAAACAAAACTGATTTTAGTATGACACAAAAGCTTTTTCCACACGGGCCATTTCTTCATACCATAACCAGAGAAAATTTTTTTTAACAGCATTCTTTTGCAGAGTGTGAGCTCCTCTGTCACATCAGCACCACAGGAAGCCTATGGTAACACTCCTTGTGGAGCAGAGCAGACAAAGCCCCTTCACTGCCTGGTGTGAGGATGCCCCAGCCAAGGCTCCAGCAGGGAGCTGCACACATCTGGTCACTGCAGCTTTCTCCATCTCACTCTGAGCAACATCAACCACAACACTCACCTGTAAACAATCCAGGGAAGTACTGACAATGCGTGGAGACTTTGACTGGCAGGCCAGCTCAAATGGAAGGAAATATTTATCTGCTTCAATGAAATTTGCTTTTGGTGGAGCAGCAGTGCCTTCTCTAGGTCAGATAAGAAGAGTTATTCATTTTTCTAAACATGTATATCACAGCAAACTACGATTTCTCCTTTTTCTAAATTTAAAGTTAAATAATGCACTGCAGCATACAAATGTACTGCAGCTTTCTTGCATATACTTTCTCAAACGAAGATCAATTTTCTTCCAAAATTGCACAAAACCCATTTTACATTTATTTATATTCTATCTGATCTTTTTTGTATCTTCTTCAATTTAACTCTTTCCCCATTATATTCCAACACTGTCCCACTATGTTAAATATTGGAAAACTCCTACACAACTGATGTATCTATTCATGTTATTCAAAATGGATTAAACAGAGCCCATAAGCAGAACACTAAGCAGATAGGAACACATTTGGAGACCCATTTGCTCATTTTCAATCATAGCACAGTGCTAGAAAACTTTTATAAACTTTTATTTAAGTAATACTTCAATTGGTGTTCTTGATCTAGGTAATAAAGAGCACATGCTATCAAACAGAGGGCATATGCACTGCTCCCCATGATTTTTTATCAGGATATTGGGTCCAGTAAAAGGAAGCCAAAAACTGGCACCCTTTGGAAATGTTGCAATTTTCTCCTGGTGAAATTCATAGGCAGTTATGGCTTGAGTACCCAGAGCCACAAACATTGTGTAAGTGAAACACACAGGCCAGGCCACGTGTTCTTGGCAGAAAGGTGGGGAACTGGCTATTCACAAACTCACTGCTGTAACACTCTTACACTTCCACAAAATCATTCCATTTGTTCTTTTCACACACTGTTCAGAGTAATTAATAATTTACCTTTGTTTTTCCAGCTCACTTTTTATTTCATCTGGAAGAGAGAAAAAAAAAAAATCAAGCCTCAGTTATCATTATCAACAACACAGTAATAAAGCAAAGTTGTTTAAATCTAGTCTTGCACTTCAGTATTTGCTACTCCATTCCTGTAACACCTCAGCTTCAGAGATCAGAGTTTCACCAGTTATTGAAAGGTGTATCTCTCAAATTTTACATTTTAAAAGCTGGCTTTTCCAAACATTCTGAACAAAAGGTATCTTTAGAACAGTCAGGCACAGTATGTAACTTTTATTCAAGTGTATGTCCACAACACAGAGCCCTCAGGTCTGCAGAAGCCATGAGTTCAATGCACTCAACCTCCCCTAGCTGCAGTGCCAACCAGCCTGCTTGTCTTGAACCTTGCAACAGCAATCAGCTGGACAAGCTCCCAGGAGATAGGAAATCCCAAATGCACTCTGTCCTTTTGCCAGCAGATTTATTTTTTTTCAACTACACTTTTAAAGAGCTTTTCATAAAACTAAGCAGAGGGGGAAAGTTCCTTTCTCATTTGTCTTGTATACAGCAGCAGATCCCAAAGATCCTGTTAAGGCTTTTCAAGGATTTCTAAGGTATCACCACGATGCCCAGTGCAGACCAGCATAAGCACCCACTGTGAACACTGACAAATCCACATCTAAACCAGCACCCACAGTAGGGCTGCACAACTACATCATCTCTAACACCAGTGGAACCTTCCATCCCACCCTAGAGCACATGCTGCAAACTACCCTCACTCTGCAAATTATCCTGCTTACAAATCTTGTTTCAATTGCAGGTATTGGAACATGATCATTCATTCAATACTCGTTCTCCACAACTATGGAGAGGCACCATTGTTTGTGATCAGATGACCACAGTTCAGATGATTTCAGTGCTGTCTGTGAACCTCAGGAGTTTCTTCTGTCTCATGAGAATCAATATACAAATCAGAGTAAGGAACAAGGACTGCAGCAAACACAGATTACAGAGTTTTGTACAGGCCTGCTTGCCAGTGAATGGCACAGGAATTAATCCTCACAGTGTGTACTGATTTTGTAAAATTACTGCCCACACTGGATAGAGAAAATGGAAGCAGAACATAGTGAAAACCTGTATAACTACAAGCTGTGAGTGACAAGCTCCATGCAGGATTGCTGTTCTCTGCCATATCTGCTCATTAATGAGCACCAGTCTGACATCCCTCAGTTCTCATGGCACACAATCAGGCCACACAAACTGCAGTAACGTTACCCACCCCAGAGCCAGCTAAAGAGACACCAGAACAATGGAAGAGCCCTGGGTGCACAGTGTTCCCAGCTCTCCTCAAGTGCATCACACTAAGAGCCATATCCAGCAGTTTTAAAGAACAGTTGTCACTTGCCAGCCCTGGGCTGGGGGCCTTCAGGATCAGTAAGAACTTTGCAGCTCTGTGACAGCACAAACCCAGCAGCACCATCCCCTGATGCTTTAGGCTTCAACTGGAGAGGAGATAACAGAATGGAGGCTGTTGGTAAGAAATGACCAAGGCTTTCTGTGCCAAACAGAGAATGTAAATCTTGCAAAGCACCACTTCCTAAACCACTGTGTTTTTCATGCCAGGATCCAACTGGCCCACCAACAAGGTGACTAGTCAGAAATTCAGTTCAGCATAATTTCAGTTCAGGCCTTCTGATTTAATTATCTTCCCCATCTTTAACACAACATTATGATCCAAAGAGCTACTGAGAACAACATATGTGACCTAGCAATGTATTGTGTCCCTGTTTTAATCTGCCTTGCTCTTAGCACAGCGTGCAGGAACTGGCTGCTTAAAACAGAGCGTCTTCTGGGTAGCTTTACACCTTCAGAACACCTAGTCCTGCCTCCAGGTCTTGGCAGAGAAAGGCACATTCTAGCTACAGCTAGAATCCCATACAGCAGGATGCCAGGGCCAGCAAAAACCACAATTAATGCTCTATTTCAGACACCCTACAGAACTAAAGTATACAGAGCTTTCTCTTAATGAAGAAATTTTTCTAATGCAAAAACTCCACTAAGTTTCTCTTTCTTCCAAGGAGATCATTTCCCCCCATACTGATTGTTTTGCAGAGTAAAAAAGATGTTGAATTGAAACTTCATAAATATTATAGCTTTAAGGAGAAATGATCATGCCCTTCTTTAGTGATTCTTGTCTTAGATCTTGCACTGGAAAAATAATGCATGAATAGCATCCCATTTTAGAGCAACCACAGCTTAACTCTCAAAAGTACTATATAAACAACAACAACAAAAATCTAACCAAGGTCTGACCAAGTTCCCCACAATTTTATTTTAATAAAAGCTTTTCTAAAGCCATATAAAAACATCTTCACCACAACAGTATTTTAATAGATAATGCTGGCAGAAAAGAATAAAGGAAAGGACAAAAGGAAGCTATGGGCATACTTCTGCTACTGATTGCATCAAAACAGTTTGAAAACCTCCACGTCTGAAGTACTCATTTGGTGGTCTGACCATCACAAGTGAGTGAAACAGAAACAGTTGCCTAATTGAAGTCTGCTGCCAGGAATAGCTTGCCAAGCCCCAAACCAGACACTGCCAGCTTCCAGAAACCGCCTGCCACTGGTGCTGTTCTTCTCCAGTCACAGGAGTAAGGGACACAGCTCAACTCCCCTCCACAGCTACAGAACAGTGCCAAGTTTGGCCAACATCTGGTCACCCCAGCACAGTGCTGACCCCACACGTGGCGCTTTAGGTGGCAGAGCTCCCTGTCTCTGCCACGGCAGCTCCTTCAGTGAAACGTTCCAGCCCCTGTGCTGCCCCCCTAATGAAGTCCTGCAGCATTCCTACCAGGCAGCAGAACTGGAACAAGAACGGCCCTGCAGCAACTCCTTCCAAAGCTTCTGGCCATAAAAGCAGGATGAAGCTCACACTGAGTAGCTGCCTTTCTGTAGCAGATGGAAGGGTTCAGCTCAGTTGTATTGGAAACTACCCATTACAACAGAGGACATTTGCTGTCTGCCTGCAGCTCGATGCCTGCTCTGTGGCCACAATCAGGTTTGTGGCAGTGGCAGCACACGAGCTCCTGTGCAGAAAATGGCTTGTGCTGGTACAGGGACGCGGGCCATGGTCCGAGCAGGCAGCAGTGCCAACACAAACACGTGGAGGAGCAGCCAGAGCTTCCCTCCCCCAGCCCAGCAAAGCCGGCATTGCCCAACCCCAGCCTGCCTGGCCCGCAGTCTGTGCAAAGCCCGGCCCAGGTACGGATCACACCCGGCTGTACAGACCTGCAGGAAAGGGCGGGGGAGCCAGAGTCTCCTCTTTGCCCCAGCGTTCTCTGAACACGCTGGCCAAGAGGCCAAACGAAGAAACACAGCTTATTTTTGACATCTGTCATTTATACACAGAGACTTTCTAAACACACAACCACATTCCTAAGGGAAGGCATGGTTGAAAAGACTTTAACTGGTTAACAAGCTAACTAAACAAATCCCGTTGTTTACAAAGTTCAAAGATGGAGCTGCCCAGGCTATCAAAGAAGGCAGCAGAACCAGGGTGGCTGCACAGGATGTCATTAATAACAGGCAATAGTTTATGAGAGTGACCCAGGTGCACAGTTAGCATTAGTCTAATATGAACTGCTGTGATACAGACTGTCAGTATTCCACTGCAAATTTTTCAGGATAATTTAAGTAGATTTCTAAGAATCATGTGTACCTGGAGCTTCACATAAATGCTTATTAAACAACTATTTTTATACAATGAAATGGTCTGTTGAAAACAAACTTTCTTTAAAAGACAGTTTTCTAAAGCAGGGCAAAACAGCTTCTCTGTTTAAAACCCTCAATTTCTCCCAAACTCTCCTGGGGTTTACTGGCACCACAACTGCAGGACACAGCCGTTACACGTACTGATGAAGCAAGAGACTGAATGAAGGAATCTATTCAAACCCTGCTTACCTAACATTAACACTGTGTATTTCAAAGAGGCAAAAAAACCCAAAACCTAAAAAAACACCATTGTGAAGTGGTTTTGTTCCTTTTCCTCCACACTTCTTGTGTTTCTGTCCTACTTGCACCAACGCAACTTTTGATTTCTACAAGGTCATGTGTATTTTGCAGTCCAAAACTGACCAGTATTAGCCCAAATGTAACAGAGACCCTCCCATACAGTCATCCAGGCCCCTAACAGTTGCTCAACAGAAGGTTATCTCTTTATGCTGACCTCTGCTTTAGTCCAGGAAAGCCCAGGGACTCTCTCTAAGCAAGTTTAGGGAAGCAGTGGTGGACATTGCATTAGCTCCCCTCCATCATGCTGCACCGTGGAACACATAGCCATAACTCAAGTGGCAGGTGCCAACGGGGGCTACTGCACAGCACTCCTCCCAAAATCCTCATGTGCCAGGCCTCAGCAAACACAGACCTTCACTAGGCATCTTACAAGGAAGTTTCCTTTCTCAACCTCTAAACATATTTACATAGCAGCAAAACAGGTTCTCAGTCCTGTAAATGGGTTCAGTGCATGTGGGGGCAGTTGGGGAAGAGATCAGGAAAAGGAATTAATTAGGAAAAGCAGTCTGTAACTGCCGGGGCATATGTGTTGCTCTCTTGCTCACAATGTCAACTTTAAATAATAATTAAAATACCCTTCTGTCAATATACTGTCACTACAGGTAGCTCCTACATTATGTCCTGGCAGTAAAGACTGCAGGGAGGAAGATAAAAATGACAGCATTTCTTTAAGCTTGCTCTCACTCTGCCTGGGACAGAACTTCCATCTGCCCAGCCGCCTTACAGCCTACCGAACTTGTCTTTTCTTCTGTCTTGGATACACTAAATGTTCTCCATTCAAAGGAAAAAATCGATGGGAAGCAACCAAAACTGAAAGAGAGATGTCACTTTTGCAAATTAAGAAAGGGCCATAGAGAACTCCAGCTGCAGAGCTCTACTGTCCTACTCAGTTTATCTTTTCTCTCTCTGTGATTGTATGTTGTCAGAACTTTTAACAGAGACCTTTACACAAGCTTGTACTTGCAGATTTCAGGACCAGTCCACCAGCTTCACAAAAAGTGCTTTCAGCTCTGAAAACATCACAGTTGTTACACGTACTTGGTAACAATGCTAACAGTCCTTAGCCAGTCCGAACACGACCTGGAGATTAGAGGTCAGATTTAACATCCCGAGAAGCTCTGGGACTCCGTAAATCGAGGGCCTTAAAAACTCTTGTTTCCTAATCTAAAAGCTGCAATTAATTTTCTCAAAGTCGAAGCGACAAGACCAAGTCCCTCCTATTTCACACCGAGACCGAACTTAATAAAGCAGGTATTCAGAGATTTTCC